GTTCTGCCTCCATGAAAAACTCAGAGTGAGCGATTATATTCAGAAATCAGATTTTAAGTGTTTTTTCCATGTCCTATACAAACTGATGCTTTCTGGTAATTTCACTTTGTCCGGAGCTTTATGTTCTGCACCAGCAATGACAAACTCTCCCTCTGTATGAAACTCTTGTAAAGCCGCTTCTCTATCACGGCCGGCACCTCACCCCATACTAAATATACAGGTTTGCTTTTTACATGGAAAAATGTACTTGCTTGACCATTTGTCCAAGGAATATCTCCAAACTGCGAAGGTTGGCATCAAGGCATGAACTTGAAATGGTTATTCATGCCTTTATCTCCTCCCGTCTAGATTACTGTAACACACGTTTCACGTTTTAACAAAAAAAAAAAACACTTGACCACATTCAGTTGGTCCAGAACTCTGCAGCAAGGCTCCAAGGATCCACTTGATCAGAACATTTCAGTTTTCCCATCATAACTGGCATTGATGCTTGACCTCTCATTCTATCTTCTCTGAACATGGCAAGAATGCATATGCATTACTGTCAATTTTATCACATAAATACAAGTATTACTGTTCAAAATTGGACTTAGGACTGATAAAGGGATCCATTTTTCATTTCCCTCCAAATATCAATACACAATTTAAAATGCAAAATTTGCTGTTATGAATATTCATAAAGGTTCATAACATTTATAAAATAGCATTCACATGATCTGGTCTAAAATGTTAAAGGTGTGGTTTATTCATTTATTCTATACATTTGCAGTGTTCTCTATTGTAAATCAATGCCTTATGAGTCAATTAAACAAAGCTATGATGCATCTGTTCTGAAATGCAGAAGTTTGCTGGCGCAGAGGTGGGCTGAAAACAGAAGGATTACTCATTATTGATGACATGCACACGCCTCGCTTCTGATCGGTTATGGCATGTTCAGCCATGTTGCAAAGCCACCATCACCAAAAAAAAAGTCTTCCTGTGGGCGGGCGCAAGCCAAGATGGGTGAGGCCATTAATGCAATTACACAGTGTGACATAGGAATGTGAGGATTTTCAAATCCTAGCAATACACCCTCTATTTTCTATCAGAAGCTAATGCAGGAGATAGATGTAGGAGACTGTTTTCATGTTCAGCCTGCATGAAAAACTCAGAGTGACCAATTATAATCAGAAAAAAAAAATTTTTTTCAGTCAACCACGCCTTTACAGGGTGGAATCTGCACTAATAAAATGTTAATGCCTCTGCAGTTAGCTCATCAGTCCAGACAGAACTAATCTATTATTCTCCAAAAATTTAAATATCCACCACACATATCACCAGATCGTAACCTTTCCTGAAATTGAAAGTCCCTTCCAAGAATCTGAAGAATTTTTCCTGACGTAAAAGCGATGTTGTAAACCCTTCCGCAGCTGTTGTGATAAAAAGCCTGATGATATGAGTTGTTTTAAAAGGCTGAAATCTTTCTCTGATTTTCCAAACTGTTGTCTGCAGCAGGTAAGATGACAACGAAAACCTCCACAATCCCCCATTTCAACAATCTTAAATGTACTTTATAAAAATTCAAGTAGTCCGTGGTAATAAAGCAACCCGTTTGTTTAAATCATGGAATCTTAAACTTAAATATTGTAACTTACCGTCTTTTTCCTTTTTCATAAAAATAATACCAATGAATTTTTAAATAGCCTAACATTTATATATTATTCTTTTAAATAAGGAATCATACAAATCCCTTTAATGCACGTCAAGTTATTTCCATCGCTATTTCCATCACCTTTTAGCACAGTCTCAGCCATACACATTCAGTTTCACTGCACAGCACTGAAGTCAGAAGCATTAACACTCCTTATTTTAAAATAAGTTTGTTGCATTATTGAAATCTAAGATTAGTTTTCCACATCTGTGTCATTTAGGAGCTTATTGGATGACAGAGAAACCCTGTGCTTAAGTGGATGTAGTGGATGCGATGTAATTACAGACATGCTTTCACACTGCTGAGTGCTCATTTAATTTAATAAGAACAAGTGAACTTAATCCAACATTGTTTAAGACGCGCTCTGACTGGAAAACATCCTGTGATGCATTAAAACGGAAAGCAATCTTCTGTTTACTTTACCATCTTTTGCTTTTACTGTAGATGTGAGACCATTATTTAATTTTCTCTTCTGATTCAAGCTAAGTTTGCAAGAAGAAGCAAACAAGCAAAGCAAAAGAGTGAGAAAGTGATGGCAGCCTAAAAAATTACAGGGCAGAGAGAGAGAAGCTTGAGATGGCATTTGACAAGTCAGTGTTCAATATACAGATTGTGTGCATAGCTGATTGTAGCCAATCAAGGCAGAAAGAATGGCAGGCTGTTATGTTTGTGGAGCTGTAAGAAGATTACTAACCACCGGCCACAACGTCTTATCCCCCAAATCCCTCTCTAACACCAGGCAGCCTCCTGCAAACACGGATCTCATGCTCCTTGTTGCCACCCAATTTTGGCACAGTTCTTCAAGTGGGATGTCAGAATATAATCGAGACGACATTAAACACAAAGAGGAGCGCAGACGGCAACTAAGAAAACAAAGAGGGGCTCTCTTCACGAAGCCTGAGGAGGGCTTAAAAGATTACAAATGAAAATGTGCCAGTTAAAAGAAAAATAAGGAGGAAAGCAGGAAAATATGTACTTTCCATCTGAAAATAAATGTTTAGGCAAATCCCCCATTATAGAAATATGATTTTTTAAACACGATTTATCTAGAATTTTAAGAAACATTACATTAGCATGTGCAAATATTACGTACACCTTCTCTAGAAGTTGCTGCAGATTTCCAGTTCAAACGTTCACGGACACTTATTTTTGGAAAAGTGCAACCTGTTTCAAATGCAAAGTTTACATTTAACATTTAAAATATATCATTTAGTTAAGTTTAAGAAACAAGTTCCACTAACAGAACATGGTTTCAACTTTTCTAATGATATTGTGTAAATCTGACCTGGAGCTGTTCGCAGCAATCTGAGGTCTGCTGACTTAACCATTAGTGGACATGGTTTTCATCTAGATGAGCATGAATGAACCCCGTGAAAGGTGCTTTGTAGCAGCTCTTGTGTGTCTGTATTAAACAGAAGTTTATCCATTCATCTTCCTCCTCTTTTCCAAGGTCAGGTCACGGGGCCCGGGCAGCAGCCTAAGTAGGGAGAACAAGACCTCCCTCTCTCCAGCCACTTGAGCCAGCTCCTCTGTGGGAATCCCAAGGCGTTTTCTGGCCAGCTAAGACATAGCACCTCCAGTGTGTCCTAGGTCTTCCTTTAGGTCTCCTCCAGATTGGACATGCCTAGGAAACCTCACCAGGGAGGCATGTAGGAGGCATCCTAACCAGATGCTCAAGCCACCTCCACCCATTCTTTTCCATATGGAGGATCAGCAGATCTGCTGTGAGCCCCTCCCAGATGGCCGAGCTTCTCACCCTGTCTCTAAGGGAGAGCTCAAACACCCTGTAGAGCGCACATGTCAAAGTCAAGGCCCACGGGCCAAATCCGGCCCACGAATGAATTATCTATGGCCCTCGGGATGGTATTTGATTAGTATTAGAACCAGGCCCCCACAATGCGGGTGAAAAATTGGGCCCAACCCAGAAGTACCAAAAATTGCAGTTCCACCCTCATCCACTGCATGGGGGCTGGTGTCAGAAGCGAGCAAATCCTCATTGACTCCCATGTTAAAAATACCAATTTCACAGTAGAAATAATTTTATTTTATATAGATTTATTCTATATTTTTTCATTTTACTATTTGAAGCAGTAATTGGTAGGATAATAGAGCAGCACAATATTACATTTTCAGTTTATAATGCATGCAGTTTCATTTATGCATTTTTCTTGATATAAGGAACATATTTTGTTTTTGAAGGAAAATTGCTTTTTTGCTGTTTGCCTGTTGAAAATGTTTTCTTTTTAACTTACTGACAGAGCCATAAGAAATTATTACTTTATTAATTTAATGTACAGGACATGTGATTTTTCTTTGAAGGCAGTTTGTTCTTGTCTGTGTGCCTGCTGAAAAATGTTTTCCCGATTATTGATTTAATCATTAAATAATACACTGTGTTAGGTCTTGGTTCAATAGGCTATGTGCAATCCATTCAATATGTTTTAATAAACATTGAACCAGTCCGGCCCTCGGCTTATAGCCAATTTGTTTTTTTGGCCCTCTGTGTATTTGACTTTGACATCCCTGCAAACCTCATTTTGGCCACTTGTACCTGCGATCTCATTCTTTCAGTCACTAGCCAAAGCTCGTGACCATAGGTGAGGGTAGGAACGTAGATCGACCAGTAAAACAAGTGTTTAATCTTCTGGCTTAACTCTCTCTTCACCACGACAGACCGCTGCAACGCCCGCATCATTGCAGACGCAGCACCAATCCGCCCATCGTTCTCACGCTCGATTATTCCTTGATTTGTGAACAAGACCCCGAGATACTTAAACTCCTCCACTTGAGGCAGAATCTCATCCCTGACTTGGAGAAGGCATTCTACCCTTTTCCGATTCAACACGATGATCTTGAATTTTGACGTGCTGATCCTCATCCCAGCTGCAAACTGTTCTAGCTAAAGTCCGATCACTGATGAAGCCAACAGGACCACATCATCTGCAAAAGTAGAGACCCGATCATCAGGCCACCAAAACGGATCCCCTCAACACCTTGGCTGCACGTAGAAATCCGATCCGTGAAAGTTATGAACAGAATCGGTGACAAAGGGCAGACTTGGTAGAGTCCAACTCTCGCTGGAAATGAGCCTGATGTTTATATAAAACTAGCAGGATGTTGAAGAAAGGCTTAACCTCAACAAACAAATGTATTCATTTTAAATCAATACTATATCAGATATGTATTGTTCCCATACTGACAAACAAAATATGACAATAAGCAGAACCTAAAAATATGCCGACTAATGATGAAACGTGGAAAAATAGAAATTATTTTACCATAAACTATGTTACTGAGTACACCAGAGATGTCCATGTTTTGCCTAACCCAGTTTTATTTTTATTCAGTAAAGGAAAAGGAGTTGGAAAGCAAAAGTAAAGCAAATGAAACAAAATATATAATCTTACACAATCATTTTCCCACTTTTAGAACTGCGTTACAACCAGAAACACAACTCAGTGCCTAAATGTAAATCTGAAACTTAAAGGAATCGAAACAAGGTTTTCTTTAAGATACACGAGATTCAAGCTTTTTTTTTCTTTTTCCAAAGTCCACCAAGAAAATATTTCAAAAAGTAACTATATGCTCATCACAGCTGTAATTCCTTCTTTACCTCAAAACAAAGGATGAAAAAGGAGGCAGCGAGGGTGAGAGGAGGAGGAAAAGCTACGGATTAAGGGAAATAAAATGAAAATGAGGAAAATGCATATGATTATCAAGCTGGTGGGGAACAAAAACACATTGGGGATAAAGACTTTTAGCTTTAACATCAGCAGTGAAGCTGTGAAACATTGAAGGGGTGACCTTAAGAGCCTCTTATTTACCTACAGTTGCTCCTGTCCACGGTAGGAGAATACATCAATGTTTCATTGTACACGTGTGTGCTCAGGTTTAACAGCAGCTGAGCACGTAGGACAACGCAAAAGGTCAGGCCGTGTGTTTGCAAAAGTGTAGTTAACATGTAACATTACAAACATTCCACGTCCAGCCTGGTTATTATTAATGCACACAGTCCAACGATCTGTAAATGTGTTCATCAGTACATCCAGTATGCACAAGCCACACGTGTTCATGAAGAAATCAGATGTGAAGAGGAAATGCCTACATTTTAAAGGTTAACGTGAATAAAAGGAGGGGTGGGTGCAAAACAAAAAGCTAATTAAATCTTCAGTCCCTTCCTGACATTGACAACAGGTCGTTGTGTGAATCCAAGGACAAGCAGTTCCTGTCTGCACCGTGACTCTGTGTTTGAGTTTGACCCAGGCTGCAAGTTCTGAGTATAGACTATCAGTGTCACGACACTTTTCCAGAAAAACCTTCAATCAGAACAAAAAAAAACTAGAATAGAATCCGTGAAGCAGAAGAGGAAGGGTCCAGGGATGTGGAGCTTCAGAATCCTGAGGTGGGTGATTAACGGTTTCGGATTAAAAGCGTTGGATGGCCGGGGTGGAGGTTAGACATGAAACGAGGCTGGTGAGCTGGCTGGCCTCACAACGTCCATTCTTGGCGCAGAGTTCAAAGCAGCTCTGGTCTGGATTTTGAGGTAAAGAGAATAGTCTTATAAACAGCGCCAAAGCCAGAGTGTGCAAGAAGGATAACCGATTCTTCTCCTTTTTCTCCTCCTAATCATTCTTTAAGTTTCATGTTGTTCCTTTATTTCTGAGGTAAAGAGTACAGTCTGGTTTCCAAAACAAACAACTGTATGAAGCATTGTGTTTTCTCTTGACAAAGCTTTACTCACTTTCGCACCATTCAGACTTCTGTCGTTAAAAGCTCCCAAGGAAGTGAAGAAATCATTTTCTTCACTCTAGATTGTTCCGTCTGTATTAGGTTTGCTTGTTTTTCCAAAAGGCATCTTAGCAGAAGGGATATGATCAAGCCAACAGGAGCAGGAAACAAACGAGGGAATTGTTCAAAATTCTAAAGAATGAGCTGGCTGAACTTAAAACTTAAAGAAGGCAGGTTTGTTTCCAGCAAAAAAATTAAAAATAAAAAACCTCATGTACGAAATAAGAAGCGGAAATCATATCCCTGTTTGCACTGAGAGACCATCTGAACGCAGAGGATTTTCCTGGAGGGAATGGCCGCTCAGGAGCACTCCTCTCCGATGCGCTGGCAGGATCGGCCCACCTTACGGTCGAGTTTCACCATCTTGAGGACGGCCTCCTGACGTCCGTGTCCCAGGTGGTCAAAGAGACACTCGTGTTGCTCAGGAAGACGATGAAGCATACAGAAGACGTAACCTAAGGTGGTAGAAAAAAGAAAAGGAGAATATTGAAGCAAAACACCATGGACAGATGCTAATGTATATGACAGATAAAAGATAGTAAAATCTATCCTACTCCATTGCTTCTGATTTTATTCTACAGAAAACTAGCATCTCTCACTGACGTGGTCTCCATTGTAGCACTTCTAACAAGTCCCGCCACCACCGTAAGCTTGAAAGGCTCTGAGGCAGCTGATAGCTCACTTCATTGTAAACTTATTCATCCATGCATACAGAAATACTGCTGCTATTCAATAAGTGGTGATTAAAACCTTACGTTGAACTGCACATAAGAAGGGAACGTAGGGCAGACGGTTCAACAACACAAAATACATTATTCACTAAATAAAATTAAATCAACTTTACCACCAAGCTCTTTGCTGACTTGATGCAAGAGACTGATCAATTCAGACACGTCCCAAATGTAAAGGTGGCAACATTTTAAAGGCGTCCTAAAAAGGGTTTGCTGTTTCAATTGGAAGTTGTTCTTTGAGCCTCTAAATAGCCTCCGACAAGCACGTGTATAAATGAGAGACGGACAGGAAACGGGGGGGGGGGGGGGGGGTGCACAAACGGACCGCTTCGCTACCAGTTCTCATCTGTATCAGCAGAGGAGAGGCCAGCGATAAGCTTTGCTGCCATGTGTCGTCCGTGTCAGCCAAGATGGTGGTGGGGTGGGGGGGTGGGGGGCGCAGGTAAGCAGCAGGAGCAGGTGGAGCAGGCTTAAAAAGCGCTGTGTCCGTCCGATTTCTGCTGTGTATTGTTGGGGGTGGGGTGGGGGAGGTGTTGGGACGTAAGTAGGGCTACAGCATTCTTCTTTTTTGGTTTCCTCACGTCCAACAGGAGGTTAGCAGTAGCTCGGCCTAGCATTCTGTGGTTAGCATTACCGTGACCAACATTTGTATATTGCAAACGTTGAAGTGGGTTGGGACATCCAAATGTAAGAGTGTGGGTAAATGACATGTTAAACCAGCTTTTCTCAGACTAAATTGTTTGTCTGTGGCAATGGATGCTCCAATCTAATTAGCTAGCAGGCTAATGAAGAGCGAACATGTTGCCTCAGGAGAGCAAAAATGTGTTACGGCTGGTGGCTCCTTGCCCTAGGAGGCTTGTAACTCCTTTGGCGCCATCTCCTGACCTCAGAGAGGTCCATGTCTAAATGTTTGCTCCAAGGGTGTTTGAAGGGTTTATAGTGGTTTCAGTAGCGATCGTTTGAATGTGTGAATGAAGTGTGCTTTTAGAGTTTTAAAAGAGATTAGGAATCATGTGTGAAGGCTTCCTCTGGGCCACAAACTGGACCTTTGGTTAAAATCCTGATCAGTGGACCTCGTCTTGGTATGTTTGAGAGCTTTTAGATAACCGTTTTAAATGAGAATCCACATTTTAAAGCTGTAACAAGCCTTTACAGCACTGGTATTTACAGAACATTTAGGAAATGGAACATTGTGTTTTTAAAATCCTTATTTATAATTAAACATTTGTTTGATTTTTACCAGCTTGCACACAACCTCTGTGATATGCTATTATCCTATATTTTTACACCAACCATGGGTTGTAATAAATATCTGCAGTTTGGATGCATTTTAAACCGGACAGTACGGCTGGGCGATATGGCCTAAAATCAATATCACGATATATTGAGGATTTCACCTCGATAACGATAAATGAACGATAACTACAGGTATGTGCAGAAACAAAAGCTGTCCACTAGATGGGGCTGTCACATGTATTACGTTGAGTCACATTTTTACACGACTCATGATGGTACAGCTTCTTAAAGGGAAATGAATTTTGCCAACCTACACAGATTATCTTCATTTTTTATTATCAAATTTATTGACATGGGAAAATTTCTTGATAAGAGTCAGATATTTCGATAACAATAAATTTTCGATTTATTACCCAGCCCTACTGGACAGCAAAGGCAGCACAATGGTTACTTGTAATGTGTGCATGTTTTGCATGGTGGAAAAGACAGCTGCATGATACGCCGCTTTAAAAACAAACATTGTCTTTCAGCTTATTTCCTTTAGGCCTTGCTACAGCAAATCATCTAGCCCCATTAAGTCCATTAAGTCCTACTTCACCACTAATACTCCCCGTTTACTGCAGCAACTTGGATAAAAACAGAGCCAGCTGAATTAAAGCTACATATAAACAAAGAGAAATTGCAGGCGGACAGCCAAACATCAGGTTCCCCAGTCCCCTGGAGCACCAGGTGTTACAGGTGGCGTTTCACACCGTGGTTAATAGTCAAACCAGTTAATCCTTGCAACCCTACCTACAATTAACAAGGTAAATGTGGTTTTGAATTCTTGGACCCCTTTACAATCGTGTGTGCCTGTATTTTGTTTACCTGCACTCTGCATGTGTGTTTTAAACATGCTGACCTTTCTGTTACTGCTTCACTACTGCTACTGCCTGCTTATTGTTAGTAAATAGCATTTCGTCTTTGTTATCATTTATAAATATGCATAAATGTTCAGTTTTGTCATGCTTCAGACAGTGAAAAACGAAGGTTTGACATTGCATGCAAACAAAACTCTGGTGAAAGGTGGGTTGTTGCCAATTTGAGGACAAATTCATCAGCATGAAATATTTTAGTTCTGTATTTTGCTGTGGACTGTCTCCTTGACACCTGTGTCATGCATAAAACATAGGCACCACACCACAATCATGAATGTATGTGGCTGCAGATCTGCTCGAGTCACGGCTGAGACGCGTGGCTCAGTAAATACACAAGCAGAAATGAAATTCATGATGTGTCACACATGCAACAAGTACACAAACTGTGTGAAACCAGCCTGAGCAAAACACTGACGGTCCCCAACAGAGAGGAACTTGTTTAGGGGGAGATGTTTTCTGCAGCAGCACATGCAAAGGCAAGAAAACAGCAGCCACAGCCTCTTTTTATTTAATAGGGAGGTCAGTCAACCAGGAACAATCTTATTTTCGGTCATTTAGTCCAACCTGGTCTTATTAATGTAATGATACGCCTACATTTGTAAAGTCGTAATGAAAAAGAAAGATCCGATTTTTTTAAATCTGCAAAAAATCGTGATACGACACCTTATACTGTCTCTCCTAAAAAGGCCAACTATAAACCTGGTGGCTTAAAACAGATGTGGCAGCAACAATCTTCTGAATGACACCATCAGTATCCCCACTTCTTTTACTGATGTTTCCATTTATTGAGGTTTGGTGATATTTGTTTACACACAGCTCTGTTAAGGTCTCTACAGCGCTCATTAGGATGAGGTCTGGACTCTGATCAATCTGTTGCAACAATTATTTCTTCTTCAGCCATCATTTTCTTGATTTGTTGGTTGGATGGAGATCTGTGTCCTGCTGCATAACCTGGTTTCAGGCAAGCTTCAGCTGTCACACAGATGGATCAACGTTTGACTCCAGAATACTGTGGTATACAGACGGGGGCGTGGCCAGCCCGCAAGATGCTCAGGTCCTGTGGCTGCCAAAACTGCAATGCTCTGCTTTTTTATCTGTACTGATGCAAGCTTTAACATTTGACCTGCCAAATGAGGCCTATAGAGTTCGAGATGTAGCTCCTGTTCATTTTGCAATTTCTCCACGTGTTGCATATTCTGACCTTAAGGTGAACCTGATGTGGCAACTTGCCAAGGCTGGCAACTTTCTTGAATTTTTTCCATTTATTTGTTGTTGTTTTTTTTTTCTCACTGTACAAGGATGGAATCTAATTTGTTTGTACTATATTTATTCCCAGATCACCGGAAAGCTACACAGATCACTGGAAAGCTACACAGATCACTGGAAAGCTACACAGATCACTGGAAAGCTACACAGATCACTGGAAAGCTACACAGATCACTGGAAAGCTACACAGATCACTGGAAAGCTACACAGATCACCGGAAAGCTACACAGATCACCGGAAAGCTAAAACAAATACAACAATTTCTCCTTACTAGCGAGGTTGTTTTTGGTCCCGTTTAAACATCCATTCTCTCGTTTATGCCTAAAGCTACAATTTGCAAATGAAACTGAGGATTTTCCAAAATGTCTTCAAATGTTTGCAGGAGGCTCTGACTTTTCCCAGAGGTGTTGCATCATCAAGAAAAAGTTTTTAAATTGGAGTTTAAGACAACTTTCAGAGCGGTTGGTGACCAAACTGTGAACAAAATGAGAGTAAATTGATATTAAGATGCCTGAGTTGCAACAAGAATTTTTGCATAATTATTCTGATCAATATGCAATAATGTCGTGGGCTCTATGTGCAAAATGCTGTGTGTTCTAAATCAGAGGGATTCCAATTCAAAAGCTGATATTTTCTCTCTACAGCCAGTCGCCATGATCACAGCTCAGTGAAATCCGGGCTTAAGAAAAATGTATGAATACCAACCAAACATGAACATTTCAGATTGTGGGAAGAAGTCAAAGAACTCTAAATATTTGTAGAATTTTCCCAAAAGCCGGTCCTAATTCAAACCAAGATCATCTTGCTGTGAGTCAACAATATGAACCATTGCACCACTGCACAAACCTTGCTGCCAGGTTTCATTTAGATCAGTGAGCAATTCTAGTCACATTCCTGCATGTTTTACAGGTTTATCATGGAATGGTAGCAAGAAAGCCATTAAAAGATGCTGGGTAGGAGCCTTCCAGGACCAGGACTGGATACCACTGGTTTAGATAGATCTCAACAGGCTCTATGCATAAAATACTGTTACATTTGGAACCATTTACTGTTGCTTTGTAGATGTTCTGATTACCGTATTTTCCGGACTATAAGTCACACTTTTTTTCATAGTCTGGCCGGTCCTGCAACTTATACTCCGGAGTGACTTATATACCAAATTATGTAGGCTATACTGTGCTACTGCGGGCCGGCGCCAGACCAGGAATGAGCTCCCCTGCCCCGCTGTGAATAAAAAACACACAGCCATCCCCTGCTGGAGCCTGTTGCGCGCCGTTGTGCACTGGATCCGGCCCAGGTTTCAGCTCCTCTGCCCCACCATCACCTGCTGCGGGCCGGCTCCGACCCAGGAATGAGCTCCCCTGTCCCACTAGGAGGGTTTCAAACACCGCCATCCTCTGCTGGAGACCGTGGCGCGCTGATGCACCCGCGTTGTTTATTCTGTTATTGTTACCGGTACTTGTCTTGCAATGTGAAATGCTTGGTCTCAGATTTTGTAAGAAAAATAATAAAATTTCCCCCCAAAATGCGACTTATAGTCCAGTGTGACTTATACATGTTTTTTTCTTCTTCATTATACACGTTATGGCCGGTGCAACTTATACTCCGGGGAGACTTATACTCTGGAAAATACGGTACATTTTTCATGCGTTTCTTTCTGTATTTATGGCATGTCCTAATGTATTTGTCTCATTTAAGAAGTACATTTATAAGAAACATGTTAATATTATGAATATATTTAAAAGTAGCATTGTTGATTTTATTTTAAGTAATTTTCTTCCACAATGTGGCTGTAATGAGCGATGTAAGGTTCCTGTGACACAGCAGGTACGTTAGAGCTGGCCAGCTCTTTCCTGCTTAACACCTGTAGAGCTATGTCAGTAACTCATGCCAGACTCATGTCCACGTTGCAGCAGTGAACTCAGCGTGGAGAATAAGAAGCACAAGTACAACAAAATATGAAAAATTAGAATATGGTGCAAACATCCATTTATGTCAGCAATTTGACTTAGACTGAGAAACCATCTAGAAGCTCAGGAACCCTTTGCAGGTGTTTTGGAGTAATTAGCTCATTAGAGAGAGCTGGTGAAGGTCATCTAGGTCATGGTTGTAAGGAGAAACTGTCTTTACTCAGTTATATTGACTTCAGTTCTATTCACCGTCATCCTAAAGAAAAGCACAGCCTGGCCAGATGTGTTTTCTTCTTTAAACTAAGAACTGTGAAGTTGGAGATTTTCGTCGTTTAACAACCAGACGACATCCTTTCAAAATAAGAGCACCTGCTGACGCTGCCGATCGGTACCGGGGTCGACCCTTCAGACGGGCTTTGACGTGCTGCGACCGCTGCTCCGACAGCTCCAGTACACATCCGAGGTCTCCAGACCTGGCATTTCCTGATCTACCTGGGAGGCCCCCCACTGGGTACGTACACGGCAAAATAGCAGCTCATGTCATCACTTTATAAGCCTCGTGATATCTAGTCATAACAAAGACTACCAGATTCAATGACGTCAGCCTAAGGAGTCTGAACCAACCACACACACACACACGCACCAACACAACATCCAAATCCATTTTCATCCATCACAGAGTTAGTCCTGGTAGATTGTTTAGAATTTATAATTAAGAAATTAAAGATTCTCAAACGAACCCATCTCTCTCTCTTTTCTTGTCTCAAAGTCAATACAGAGTGTTTAATTAAACTCCCTGATGATAAAAACAGCCTATTCTTCTGATTATAAAAAGTGAACTACTTACAGTGTATTAAAATACAACTCTAGATAGTTACATCACTCTATTCCGTTACAAGAGCATGGTAATCCAAAAGGGTTTAAATGAAGGCAACTGGACTTCTTAAAAATGCTACGCCACTATTTAGAGGCTAACAACTCATCGGGGGTAGAGAGGAGAAGTACCCACAGTAGTTTCTGCTCATTAAATAACAATAGACAGCTACAGGTTATAAACTTGACTCTCCCATATTCCAGTCAGAATTGACAAAGCTCCTCAGATGAGAAGCAAAACGTCTTCAAGAAACCAAAGAAGTCCAGTTCTCCTCCTTTGAACCCTTTTGGATTGATTAGAGTGACATTGAGTCTAGAATATTGAACCTTTTCACGATACTCTAATTGTCTCAGATTTTGAATTTTGGGGTTTTCATAAACTGTAAGCCATAATCATCACCATTATTAAAAAGGCTTGAATGTATTGGCTTGGCATGTAATGAGTCTATCTCATATATTAGGTTTCACCTTTTAATTTGAATAAGTGAAATAAATTCACTTTTGGACAATATTCTAATTTTGAGTTTCACCTAGCTTTTAGGACACTGTATCACCTTCGAAGCTCTGTCTTTTCTGCCACGCAAACTGTCCAACATGCCCAACACTAAGTGGCTGCTGCAATGCCTTTGCTGTCCGGTTTAAAATGCATCCAAACGGCTGACATTTTCACTCTCCTGAGACAACAGGTTAACTCTGCATTAGCCTGCTAGCTAGCAGCTACTTCTGACCAACAAGTAGCTTATAAATTAAGCCCGTGGATATGTTTTTTTTAGGAAAAATAAACTAAACTTTGAAAATTAATAACACAAAAGGCTGGACAAACAACAGAGAAACAGAAAAATACAGACATCAAATGAACACGTATGTACCTTCCTAAGGTTTACTACTATGCTTTTGTTCTGCGCAATTTTAAATGATTAAAATGACTTGTATTCTAATTTCTAATTCTAATTGAGATTCTTGGACCAGTGCTGGCATAGTGATTGAAAGCAGCAGTGGTTCAGGTCCTGCTATTTTTGAGTCTATATGTCAGAACAAATGCCTTAATTAGCAGCTTAATCTCAGTGCCTTCACCTTGTGTCGATCCCTAGAAAGATGGATCTTAGAGGCATCGTGTAAGAGCAGATGCCATTGCCAACTGAGTGTTACATCACTGGATCAGATTCTCTGCAGGAGCTGCCTTTTTCTACCCCATTTACAATTTGAAAAGCATTCATGCTTTCAACTCATTATCAAATCTTCTTGCGTTACACTGTGGAACATTCTGCAGGACCATTAGCAAAATAATCTGCAATTACCACGATAGACAGAAATGACTATAATTGCCCCCCATTTCCCCTTTTGGTGTGTGAAAGGTATATTTTGATAGCACGCATTAGAGTGTTAAGGATGGATAACACATGCATTGGCGCCTGGAGAAAAAAATAAAAGAGAGGGGGGAGTCAATTTGCAATTTAGGCATTATTGTGTTGGTTTAAGCAGATTGGTCTTTAAGCAACGAAGAGCTTTGCCTTTTAAAGCACTTTAATTTGTATGCAAACAAGTTGATTAGCAAGCCAAGTATTGGTTTAAAACTGCATTAGTGCTTGTGGTAATTGGCTTATGTTTTATGTGCAATAAAAAAAACATTTGGGATTACTGCAATAGTCCCTAAAGGCTAAATAAAAGCAGAAAAGGCAGAAAAATAAATATCTAGGGCAACAGGGAACCTCCTCTTTTTTGTTTAAAGATATGACCAAATTAGCATGTATGTATTTTTGGATCTATACTGTAGAGCTATTTATACTAATATAAAAATGATTTATTACATAAATAGGCATAATTTGCTAGCATAAAGGCCTTTCCACGCGAGTATAAACTTTAAGAGTGCAAAAGTGTTTTCATACCACAGCGACAGGAGCCCAGTTCTTGCTGTACCAGCTCCAGTTTAGTTTGGCAGCTATGGCACCGTTTGCGGCTCCGCTGCTTAGAGCCGCTGCGAGACGAAGGTAGCAGTGATGATGCTGACAAAGATGACGATGCTGATGAACACTCCTCAGGTTCTGGGACCTCACTCACTCGCACCCGCTTCTCTGGTGAAACGTCACTTTCTGACTCTGAGGCTGGAAACACACAAGCACATAAGAAACAGGAAAAACGTTACGGCCACAACTTTGCACAACTGAGGTTTTATAGATTCTCTATCAGGTAGAACGCGATTCCCCATTAGCTGGATAAACTAGACATACTGTTTGATGTCTTGAAAGTGGACATCTTGCTTATGCATTCAGGTTCTAGTGAAGTTGGACTAGTCTATTAAAATGCTGTTTAAGTCTCCTACATATCTGATTTTACCCCACTAATTGACAAAAACGTCATTTAGATAATAATAGAAAAATAATTGCAACCTACAAATCAGTTTTCTGTTACAGATTAACCCGTGTGAAAGTTAATTAACCTTCAAAAACTGCTGAGAATTTACTTTAGCTATCAATTTAGCGCCTTCTGCCCACATGACCATCAAGCTAGCATTTATTTCCTGTGAATCCAGAGCTGCAGCTTTGAAATGAATATTAAGAAGGGGAAAAAAAAAACTCCAGGATGGTCAACCTTAAAAGAACAAAACATGCATGGCCCAGTCCACAACTGGGAGATAGAAGAGGATGACACACTGGGTCAAAACATTTCCTTTGTTTTTGTATTTAATGAATAAAAAAGAAACAGAAAAAGAGACAGCGATATGAATAGGTCTCCTGCTTTAGATTACACGTCTGTATCAGGGACAGTAGGAGCCTGTAGCAAGCTTCGGCTGGCTGGCTAGAATTTCAACTCAGCTTTTCTCATCAATCCAGCAGACTTTTTCCCCAGCTTTGCCAAAATGCAGATCAGCGCTCAATAAATCTCTGAGAACTAGGCCATGCTTGGCAGTCAGATAACCCCCCGCCCCCATGTCCCACCAGCCTGCCTCATCGATCCCTCATGTATGCGAGAATGTGAGCGAGCACATGTTCAACAATAGCAAAGCTTCCTTCTCAACAGACTTTTGTTAACTTGGTACATTTCAGTCACTTAAACGAAATGATTGTGGTTTATAACTGAAGCTTCTGAATTCTGTCCAGCACAAAAGACTTGTAGCACGAGCAGAATTTATATTCATTAGCTCTAGGACTTTGTATCCATCTACAACTCCTCAAACGGTCTCTCACATTTGAGAATAAACAGGTGAGGAATAAAAAATATAAAATATTGAAAACTCCTGGTAGAGCCGGGGCTTACCGGATTCATACGAACGCTTTGTGGGAGTGGAGAGGGAACCCAAGGCTGTGTCTGTGCTGCATACGCCTGGAAAAACAGACAAAGTCAGAAGTTTGAGAAAATATGACACAATATGAATTCTCTTCCTCCTCAGACTTGAATGTCCCACATCAGATCACCTTTCCAGTGAATAATCTCCTATTAAAAAGCTCTCAATTGGTTAAAAGAAAAGACAAAAAGTACCCATTCTGTTTTTTTATACTGAATGAATAACCCAAAGCTGAAAGACATGTGGGACACTTGTTAGGGCCAGCATGAAGTCAAGGAAGCCTAAAGACAAAAGTTGTGGGAATTTCTGATCATGATTGCTCAGATACTCTGATTCCATTTCCCCACACAGAACCAGGATGAAAAAAACATGATTCGACTGTGAGGAATCCAAAATTATGCTGTGATGTTGTTGCTTAGTTTTATTTCTCACAGCAACTATGATGGATATCTGAATGGAAGATTACATTTTCTATGTGTGCAGCAAGAAAAAAGACAGCAGGACAGAGTTTACATTGGAAATCTGTGATATGACCCACCTAATTCTGACAACAGTAACTGGCACACAGGTGATTTGATCAATAAATGTATTTTAGATGTCAGTAAACACTATGATAGAACACAGTTTCACCAGACTGACAGCATAAAACATCTTTTTGAACATCTGTGTTATAACGCATTTCTGACCCAATCCTTTTGTCTGTTTTAAAAGAGCGTGCCCATGCCCCTCTGCAAAATGAGTTTAAAAGCATGAAAAGTACTTTGAGAGGAAAACAATAAATAAAAATGTAAAGATTTATTTTGCAACAGTGACTGGTGTGAGCCTCCTTGCTGCTGCAGATGAAGTCTTGAGGCAGCCCCTGTGGGTTTTGAATGAGGCCACAGCAGAAGCACCTCACACAGGTAGGATGTGGCTAAATGTTGTGCAGGTGAAGCCAAAGGCAAGAAATGCTTCATCATCTTTTCTACTCTTTGGCTTTTATGTGGCCCTAACAAAAACCGGTACATGATGCAAGCATATGTTCAAGTAGGGCTGGTCGGTTACTTGAATTTTAACGCTCTGGGCTCGGCACGATCATTAAAAAGAAATTGTGGAATATTTGCTGCTCCTTGGTGGGTTACTCTTGCGCTGCGAGTTGCAAAGCGCTCCTTCCACACAGTGTTGCAAACTTAGCAACTTTGTCGCAATTTCTAAACACGTTTCCAAGTCCTTTGTGATTTTCCTTTCCCCAAAAGTGCCTAGCAAAAAACTTTAGGTTACTGTCGTAACCCCGGTTCTCTGAGTAACATGAGTGAGATGTCTCACTATGGGATACGCCCCTCCGCGGATTCCTCAGAAGCACTTATCTCAATACGCCAATCCTGATTGGCCAGTGACCGTGACGTACGCGTCCCCCTGCTACTATAAGTAGCAAGCGTCCCAACGTACGCACTATTCAAGATAAACACCTCTTCTCGCTTCGCCCAGCAAGAAGGGTTGTCTGGTGAGACATCTCACTCATGTTACTCAGAGAACCGGGGTTACGACAGTAACCTAAAGTTCTCTTTCTTAACATTCGTTTCGATGTCTCACTATGGGATATGGAGACTCCCGTATTGCCAGACAGCTTATCCAGCGATCACCAACCTACAGGGATACGTCTTGGCCCGCCAAAGACCCCACACTCAGAATCGTGTGAGTCATTGCAGGGACCGAAACATCAAGCTTATAGAAGCGTGCAAATGCAAGTGGAGAAGCCCAACTTGCTGCAGCACAAATCTCCTGGATTGACAGCCCCCGAAAAAGGGCCCAAGAAGCAGACAGGCCCCTAGTAGAATGGGCCCTGAGCCCAACAGGAGCCTGAATGCCCTGACAGGAGTAAGCCATAGAAATAGCCTCCACAATCCAGTGGGAAAGCCTCTGCTTTGTGACGGGTTTCCCCTTACGAGGCCCACCCCATGACACAAAAAGCTGGTCCCCCCTGCGAAGGTTCTCCGTCCGATTCACATACTCCTTGAGCGCGCGAATCGGACACAGCTTGTGCCACCGCTCCTCCTCAGGAGAGGAGAAGGGTGGCGGGTAGAAAGCTGTGAGGATAATAGGAGAAAAGGAGCCCACCACCTTAGGCACAAAGGCAGGGTTGGGCTTCAGGGACACCTTCATGTCACCGGGTGCAAACTGGGTGCAGGATGGGTGCACAGAGAGAGCCTGTAAGTCACTAACTCGCTTTGCAGATACCAAAGCCAGGAGTAGCACCACCTTAAGAGACAGGATCTTAAGGTCCAGGCCGTCCATAGGTTCAAATGGAGGCCCGGAGAGGGCCGACAGCACCAAGGACAGATCCCATGAGGGCACCAGGGGTCGAGACACAGGGAGAAGCCTGCGCGCGCCCCTCATGAAGCTACACACCAGGGGGTGTTGACCTGCCAGTTTCTTCCCAAAACCCAAGTGTCGGGAGGAAATGGCTGCTAGGTACACTTTAATGGTGGAGAAAGCCTTCTTCCCATCCAACAAGTCTTGCAGGAAAGACAGAATGACGTTCACCGGGCATTGGAAGGGTGAGACCTCCCTGCCCTGACACCAGGCTTCAAACACCCTCCATTTACAGTCATATAGGGACCTAGTGGAGGGGGCCCTAGCATTCTGAATGGTTCGAATGACCGCCTGGGGCAGCTCTGCTGACACTAGCCCGCACCCCTCAGGGGCCAGGCCCACAGGGCCAGCCGTTCTGGATGAAGGTGGAAGATCGAGCCTCCCGCTTGGGATACCAGGTCCCTGCGAAGCGGAAGTTTCCAAGGTTGGCCCTCCAGGAGCTGGAAAATGTCCGCCACCCAATGCATAGCTGGCCAGTATGGGGCCACCAGAATGAGAGTGTGGAGCTGGGTTCGTACCCTCAGCAAGGTGGGTGGTATCAGGGCCACTGGGGGAAAAGCGTAAAGCAGTCCCCGTGGCCAGTCGTGCGCCAGCGCGTCCACGCCGAGTGGAGCGTCTCGGTCGCGCAGAGGACAGTGAGCATTCTCCTTGGAGGCAAAAAGATCCACTACGGCTGTGCCGAACCGGATCCAAATCTGTTCCAACACTGCTAGATGCAGGCTCCAATCCCCGTACAGGGGTGTCCCTCTGGACAACAGATACGCCCCCCGATTCAGAACACCCGGGACATGGGTGGCTCTGATTGAGAGGAGATGCCTGCTGCACCATAGGATCAGTCTGCGTGCCAGCGTGTGTAACCGCACGGAGCGCAGCCCCCCCTGGTGGTTTATATAAGCCACAGTCAAGGTGTTGTCTGTTCTCACTAGGACATGATGGCCGGAGAGAAAAGGCAGGAAGCGCCTCAGGGCTAGAAAGACCGTGAGGAGTTCCAGATAATTTATGTGTGTCCCCCAGAGCTCTCTGCTCCACACACCCCTGACAGAGCGACCCTCCAGGAGCCCCCCCCAACCTGACAGGCTCGCATCTGTCGAGACCACTCTCCTCACGAGAACCAACCCCAAAGGCACCCCCTGTGCCAAGAGGGAGGGGTGACGCCAACAGCGGAGCGCCGTGACGCACGCTGCAGAGACCGTCACCCTGCGCGCTCTGTGGCGTACTGGAGAGAGACCCAGAGAAGCCACCCAGCGTTGAGAATCTCTCATGTGTAGACGGCCGAGTGGTACCACTGAAATAGCCGACGCCATGAGACCCAAAAGCCTGAGGCATAACGCAAACCGCACCGAACTGTGTAGGCGGAAGCGCGCCAGGCAGAACGAGAGCGCGTTCACGCGCGGTGCCGAGAGACGGGCCGTGAACGCCCCTGAGTCCAGATTCAGACCTAGAAAGGTTATTTTCTGGGAGGGGAGCAAAGCGCTTTTCTGCCAGTTTATTCTGAAACCCAGACCACACAAGGGAGGAATCACAACCAGCGTGTTTGACGCTGTCTCCTCTCTGGACCGTGCCAGCAGGAGCCAGTCGTCTAAATACGTGGCCAGCCGAATGCCCCTCCCTCTCAGAGGGGCGATCGCCGCCTCCGTACACCTGACAAACACCCTCGGGCTCAGCGAGAGGCCGAATGGGAGCACGGTGTATTCGTACACTCCCTGAAAGGCAAACCTCAGAAATGTCCTGTGTGGAGGGTACACGGGAACATGAAAGTATGCGTCCCTCAGGTCGATTGAGGTGAGCCAGTTGCTCTGGTGAATCAGACGCAAAAGGGATGAGAGCGTGAGCATTTTGAATCTGTACTTTCTGAGGCATCGGTTCAGGGCCCTCAGATCCAGGATCGGGCGAATCCCGGTCCCTCCCCGCTTCGGGACCAGGAAGTACCTGGAGTAGAAACCGCTCTGAGACCGATCGGGAGGCACAATGCATATCGCTCCCTTCTCCAGCAGGGAGGAGATTTCTCCCTGAAGGATGTGAGCTGACGACCCCTGGGCGTGGGAGAACACTACGCCGGAGAATCGAGGAGGAACAGAAGCGAATTGGAGCCTGTAACCCCTCGAAATTGTTCTCAGCACCCAACGTGAAGCAGAAACCGCTGTCCATTCCTCCCTGTGAGTGGAGAGCGGTGACACAGCCGTGACACACGGAGCACCAGCTCCCTCCAGAGGTTGTGGGGCAGCGGTGCTCGTGGCAGCCACTGCGCATGCGCGGGGGCTTTGTGCTTTGACGGCCCAGGCTTACGGGGACGACCCGTGGCGCCGCCCCCGCCTGGAACCGCTCATGGGTGACATTTATATTGATTTTTGCTGCGCCCTTGACATCTTGTCTGGATGCGACAGCGAACCTTTTAATGCTCCTTGAGCGTGACATGTTTGTGAAAAACAGTGTGAGTGCTTGTGACGTGTGCTTTGAGCCGGCACCGCCGGCTGCACGTCCTGGCCCCACCCTGGACCGCTCGGGAACTCTGCCGGAGGGGTTCCGTGAGGGGGGGGAGAAAGCACCATGGCAACATCCAACAGGAGGAGCTGGCGAACGGGGAACCGCCAGCTGCAGCGTCGGGAGGGAAGAACTCCGACAGGCTGCCCACTTCTTCCTCCTCACCTGCTGACCGCCGTGTCTGGTGGATTGTCCCGGTGGCGGAGCAGCTTGGTTGCCGGATCCCTGAGGCCAAACTGGTCGAGGCTCTGAGCCCGAAGGAGCTGGTTGGACAGCTTGAGGCTTCGGGCGCTTTGGGATCCGGAACTGAGGCTGGGCTCGGGCAGCTGCCTGAGGCAGGTTCGGCCGAGCCGGCAGCGCCGGTGAGGGTTTAAGGGGAAGGCAGAGATGAAGGGCTTCATCCTCTTTCTTTTTAGCCGCACACCGTTGCTGCATTGATGCCAGGGCAGAGCCGAAAATGCCTTCAGGCACGATTGGCATGTCCAAAATGTCCTCCTTCTCTCTCTCAGAGAGGTTGGTGAGGTTCAGCCATCGTGCACGTTCTTGAAGCACCATCATGCCCATAGCTTTTCCCGTAGCATGGACCGCGCAGCGCTGCACACGCAGGCAGATGTCGGTCAGTACGGTGATTTCCTCCCGCACCTCCGGGTCCGGCTTCGTATTCATGTCCTCACAAAGCTCGGCTTGGTACGCCGAGAGCATGGAGGAGACATTCAAAGCTCGGACCGAGATAGCGGCAGCCTTGTACGCCCTCTCGTTCAGCGCCGACTGGAAGCGGTCCGCCTTCGCAGGGAGAGCGGGAGGCCTGGAGGAAGTCGCCGAGAGCCGAGGGTGCAGGTGGGCTGCAACCAGCGGTTCCATCGGCGGCATGCGAAGCATGCCAGCCGTCTCCATCCCTTCGAAGTCCAGCGAGGAGGCTCCTTGGACAGGAGACCTGGAGCTGAACGGGTGTTTGTCCCAGGAGGACCCCACTTCTTGGAGTAGCTCCGGGAAGGCGGGGAGGAGGGGCTTTGCCGCCCTCGTGGCCTGAGGCAGCTTCTTTCCCTCGTAGCGGGATCTGACAGCCTCAGTGACCACGGTGGGCCAAGGGATGTTGAGCCTGGTCGCAGCGCGTCGGCAGACTGACTGCATGTCCAGGTGGGCGGCCGGAGAAACCGCTCCATCCCTGGGAGAGGACGGAAAGCTAGGCATGGAGGCCTGAGCGATGGGGAGAAAGACGTCGTCCTCCTCGTCCTCCTCTGAAATGAGGAGTTCCGAGGTGTCCTCGTCGTCTCCGTAGTCCAACTCCAACACATCCTCGGCGGGGTGGCTCGGACCGGCCAGTTCGAGCTGTGAGCCCCAGCTGAGTTCGGCACACGGTTCCGGCTCCGGGAGGACATGTTCGCTGGCGTCCCCAGGCGGTGGCCCAGGGGCCGGCAGGCAAGGGTCCTTCCCCGACAGGCTAGCTTGGCGCGCTAGCCGCCGGCGAAGGCTCTTCAGGGTGAAGCAAGCGCAGCTCTCACATGACCCGGGGACTTCCAATGCCAGCTGGGCGTGTTCCAGCCCGAGGCAGCTCGAGCAGACCTTGTGCGGGTCTTTGCTTGAGATTTTGTTCCCACAGGTACAGAGGCGAGCTCCTGCACCGTCGACTCCTCTGGTGGGAGGAGCGGCTTCCATGTTGGCTAACTGGTGTGTTAGCATAGAACGAACAGATGCACTGGAGTGTGAAGCTGCTCGTTATGCCCCGAGCCTATGGTGAAGGTCAGGACAGAAGGACGGTAAGTTAACGTTCGGCGACGGAGAGAATATTAGAAGGCTCCGTCTGTGAACAGTTGAGCTAACTTACCTCAGAGATAAGCGACCACCGAAGCGAGAAGAGGTGATTGAATAGTGCGTACGTTGGGACGCTTGCTACTTATAGTAGCAGGGGGACGCGTACGTCACGGTCACTGGCCAATCAGGATTGGCGTATTGAGATAAGTGCTTCTGAGGAATCCGCGGAGGGGCGTATCCCATAGTGAGACATCGAAACGAATGTTAAGAAAGAGAACCCAGCAACATTTCTGGTGGCCCTTAGTGAATGTATCTATAACTTTGTCATCGATATTCCCTGCAGGTTAGCACAACACCCAGCGTGCGGTCCAGACCATCGTTCCAGACGGAACCCAGTGTTCTAGCCACGACTGAAACTCCAGCATCACAGCTCAAAAATCCTGTCTCACAGAAGACAGGAGACACATACCCCCCCCTGGTGTGGCTGGAAAAACACTGCTACCATTAAACTTTTATTTTATCATTCATATAGTGCACTGCCTTAATGGACGGGGCCCTGACTTTGTGGAAGAAAAAAAAGGCATTACAAAACGAATCAAATGCTTTCATTTTACCCGTTTTTGAGACGTTCATACATTACTTGTAAGGCATATGCTGCTTAAAAGAAATTAAATTAGGTGCATTCAAATATACCCCTCACTTTAACAATGGACAAGGTTAGTAGATTTTTTTAACACCTCCACACATCAATTTGGTCTTTTATTTTGTCCTGTGCTGAATAGGCGTCTACAAATAAATGTGTCACTGTATAGAGATGACAGATGCCAGGGCAGTTGTAGGTGTCCTCTTCGAGCCTTTGCTCCAGTCATGGCATCCTTTAGTATCGTAAACTGCTTCAGCTAGCAGATCTCTAGAAGTATTCAACTACAGCCTACAGAAATACTCTAATAACGGTGTGTTCTTCATGACTCACTTTGACTTTTCAGCTTTGTGCAAGAAAACCACTGAAAACCAAGCAGACCTTCTTATACAATCTCTATGAAAGAAAATAAATCGTCACTCATTAAGACTCAACTTGCCTTTCTGAACAGAGGCCTCTCCAGTGTCTCCTGGCAAAGAGTCCTCTGAAGTGTTGGGTATTGACATCAGGGATTGACTGATGCTGCTGTTTGTTTCATTACAGAAGATGTCTGTTTGACTGCTGCTGGTGCTTGAAGAAGTCTTTGGAGCACAGTCATCATTTGGTTGTTTATTCTGAATGTCTGAAGAGAAAGCGACACAGTGTAGTGCTTTAGCGCCTCTGGTCTACATAATCCAAATCAGCAACCAACTTCTGGACATGAAATGAAAGGCAACTTGTGCAAAAGGTGGAATGCATACAGCAAATAATGTATGTTATTTTATTCTTTTCTAGTGAGAAAGTAATTATAATCCATGTTTGTTCATTTTAGCTGTCCAGTAGATGACTGCTCATTTAATTCTGAAAGCAAATGATCTGCTTCAATGCCTTGCAGCACTGATTTGTGTTGTGCATCTTCATTTATTAAGACAGTTGACAGAGATCATAATCATTTCACATTGGATTACATTTTTTTCTTCCTGTGCGAGAACAAAAGACAAATCTTATGGCTGTTTGCAAAGTAAAATTGAAATATTAATTAAATAAAGACATTTATTTAAAGATGTGTCAGCTCTGTGTTAAACGTCAGACACTTAAATCAAATATACTGATCTGAACAACTCACCTGCAAAACATTTGGAGCAGAGATTCTTAGTTTTGCTTGACCTGGAGAAAAACAGAGAAAACTGTTAATTGCTGATAGAAAGACATTAACCCCCCCATTGCCCTATTGGATGACCCCTCCAGGACAGGGGATGGTTGAGCAGGGTTGAGGTGGTGCTCACTCATCACAAATTGAAAAAATCATCTGGGGTCCATTGGACGCTGTTAGGAATGTGGATGAGTTGGAAATAAAATAGACAATAAATAAATTATATTTCAGTCAAAACTCTGAAGAGAGTAGCCTGGCAAGCCAGACTAAATAAATATATATATTTTTTTTAAATGTATTATTTAGACTAAATAAATACATTATTTAGTCTGGCAACGCTTCAGTGGCGGTTCTCGGTCGTGGGGTGGGTTCTACCGTTGTCTTTCAAACAATCTCCACATGCTACTGGCAACGCACAACGTGACATGCTCACCACAACGGATGTCAGTAAACAAGGAAGTCCACTGTTGAAGAAGGGAAAAATAACTCCTTCTTCTAAATAAAGGACTTAAATACATCTATCTGCTCCTGATTCAAATAAAGCCCAAGTCCTAATTGACCAAAATTGATGTAAAAGCCATTTCAAACGAACTCTCGCCATCTTGTTACATTCCGTCGCATCATCCCGCCCATCAGACGAATAGAGGGCCCTGATTGGCCCACAAAGTGGATAGGGATGCAACGATGTCTCTTTTTCCCAAACCGATACGATACCGATACTTGGATCTGAATACTCGCCGATACGGATTACCAATACAGATACTTCTAACATATAAAAAAAAGGCAATGATTTGGAATACAGATTTTATTTTCTTCTCTGCTTTCAACAGGAAAAGACTGTGAGGTAGATACAAAGTAAAATATATGAATGGAAATCATCACAAAACTAAAATATTAGGTGAACAGAAATGACAAATTACAGTGAAGCCATTTTCAAGCAACTGCATTGGTATCGGTTAACTTGGTGCATCCCTAAAAGTGGATAGAGTGCCATTATTGGTACACCATTGTAGACAGCGCTCTATTGGCTTGAAACCCCTACAGAGAGCTGTGATTGGCCCACGAGAATGCTGCTAGGGACCGCAGAGGTTCCAACGGAGCGTTCCTAGACCAAACTTTGCAAATCAAGAATTTGGTCTGGTTCACTAGGGTATGAAGAGAGGGCTTGCTGCAACAAGAGTAGTCAAGAAACTGAGAAAGGCAAGTAAAACTCGAAACAGTGCACACGGTGTCCATTGGACCCAACCGGCACTGCAAGGGGCATAATTTGGGCCAAGACCCTTCAAATGCTTACAGAAGTACTCGCCACGTCTGTATTAGTGACGTTACTGAGAAAAGGTTATGAAAATCAAGAAAAAAATAAAACACCCGGGGTCCATCTGACCCTATTAGGAATCCTGGTTGGGAATTACACTGACTGGGATACAGTTTCATAAGCAGATAACTAAAGGTAGACGTATTGTTTATTAGAGTAAGATGAGGAAACTACTGAAACACATAAAAATGAAAAAAAAAAATCTAATAAAATAAAAATCACAATCTGATCTGTTTTATTGGATTTGCTTCCAATATCAATAGGAAAATGAATAAGTTCCATGTTGTCGTTCTTTTTTAAAACACATAAACGGTTTTGTTACCTGTTTTTGACGCTACGTTTCGCCGACGGCTGCATGATGAATAAGTTGCTAATATACCAAATATATTTTGTCAGTTTGCCTGATAAGAAAACATCTTAAATTTACTAAATCGGTTACTGACTTAAAAACGAGCTCATCCTCTTGTTGCCATGTTGTTATAACTATAAAGTAAATTTAACTGCAACATCCTGGTGAAGGTACTCAATCATCCAGGGCACGCTAATCCTAGTAAGATTTCAGGGGATAAATCCAGTTTCACAGCAATTCGCACCTTCAGGAATGTGACCAAAACATCTCTCAGATGAACCGGAACAGCAACGACCCTAACAGGACTCAAGGGACGATTTGGGAGGAGGTGTTGTACCACCTTTAGAAACACAAAATAAGAACTGAGACTCCACACTTTTTGTTCTAGAAAAACACACTGCATGACCGGAAATACCTTTTTTGAATTTACAATATTTACCCTACAATCACATAAAAAAGGTTCATTTAAAGCCCTCTTTTCAGATCTAATAATCTGCTCACAAAAAAGGTAATTTGGCCACCACGGCTATCCATAGATGCTTCCCATTAAACAGGGGAGGGAGGGGTTTGACTCGTCTCTCCGGCTTCGCACGAGCAGGATGGAAAAACAGAACTATGTTGGCGTTGAACGTCCCCAAATAATTAAAAACCATAACACCAAATGCAAAGTTTAGAGCAGCACGTTTACACAGAGGCTCTCAGATTGAGCAAACTTGTGAGAATACACGTAATAACCGCTTAGAGACGGAGCAACATGTCGCTAGCATTGCGGCTAATCGCTAGCATTGCAGTTTGACCCATTATATCGATATAAAGTCATCTTGTATGAAAATTATATCGATATTTTTAAAATATATCGATATATCTCCCAGCCCTGTGTGGAAGTAAACACACTGACTTTCTTCCTTCAAGAACTACAATCCTAATGTTGTTCATTACTGCACAGTTACCTTGAATGGACATACAGTACATCAAGTCAATGGTCAAACAAACCTACATTAGCTGAAAATGTAACCATCAGTAACTAATGAGCCATCAGTATGATGAAGCTGTGGTTTAATTAACTCTTTTATTCCGATGAAAATGAAAAGCCATGCAGGATGTGTGTTGGCACTGCACACATCTTAAATGAGGATGAGCAAATCCAACTGTTGCTTTAGCCACAAACCATAAATGAAAACTTAATTACCTTGCCCCGTTTAGCAACTACAAAAGCTCTGATGCTGTTGAGCCATTCAAGTCAGACAATGAAAATTTTATTACGGTTTCCTAAACATACTTAACTTATTCTTCTTTGAAATAACATAATTGTTATGGTGGTGATCAGCGAAGCCTGTACAATCTCAGAAGCACAGCTCTTTGAAACTGATGGGCCTGATTTTCCTCTGAAAAATTGTTGTTCCTTTCCTCTCCAGCTCACAACCTTACTGTCTGTGCACCGAGTGTGACGGTCGCTGCTATCAGTCACATTCTATTTATTTTCTGTGCTTCGTTGCACACCTTTGTCCTCGTTTCTAAATGTGGGGTCTGCTGCAGTCAACCTGAGGGATGTCTGTCAGTGTGCAGATTTGAAAAAGAAAAGAGGAAACAAGCAAATTAAGATGAGGGCCAGAAATCATCCTAGGACACATACTGAAAGCAAACTGTGTAAACAGCAAATCATGTCCTGTTAATAACCTTAAAAATATATTCAAGTGCAAATTCATTAAGAAAAGAACAAGGATGACGAAACTATGACACAGCCTGATCTACATTCATTAGCCTGAATGAAGCCTGATCAGAGCTTCTCGTAACTTTCTCATCGCTGGTCTACAGCTGGTAATAAGAAATAAAAATAGATGTCATCCTTAGTAGAGTGATACAAGAAAGTTTGACGCAATTTGAATCTCTAAAATTCCAATGACAAATATTTCTGTCTAACAGACATTTTATTAATCATGCCATATCTAATACTGGCATTAACAAAATCTAAAATAATTACTAAAAGCAATAAAACACAAATGATAACATCAGCTGTTATTACGCATTTTGCATAAAAGGTAAGGATTAAAAATGTGTTTTCAGCCTGTTTTTAAAGATCTTAAAGGTGTGGTTCAACACAAATCAAGATGCAGAAAGTCTGCCGTAACAGACCACTAGACATAAGAAAATCATACAAAGGACTGGGACAGCACATGGATAATAAACACAGAGCAACAGAATTTCAAAAGATGGATCAAAGAAGCGATTGAAATGAAGAGACCAAGTCCCAGGACCATGAACGGCGACAGAGAAGTTTACACGTCGGAACACTCATGGGACTTTGTCATCAACGGAGAAGGTGCAGGCGGTAGAGGGCGATATCGTCCTTTAATCGCAGATAAAAGGAAGGGACGCCACGCACATCGGCATTTGCTCTGACAAAATCAGAAGTGGATGCCAAAACATGTTGACTAAGGTAAAATCAAGCTCTTTTTGCTCTGTGTATAATGAAGAATCACAAAAAAAAAATGTATTTTTACGTTATTAGGGTTCTTTTTCCAAACAATGCTAAACAAAAATTCTCATGAAATGAATAAAGATTAAGATACTTTAAATAAAATACAAGCTAAATGTGATGAAAACCTGATGAAATGTTAATCACATGTTAAAAAAACGAACAGTATATAAGGGAATTTACGTTAACGAGCTATTAACGCAGATACGACTTTGTCACCCAGCATATTTTACTGAGGATGTTTTTCTTCTCACCATTCGACTCCTTAAACCCAAACTAGGTCTAACTAACGTAACCCTGTCATCTTTGCAAGCACGTCTTCACTCGTGCTCTGCGCTGCAGCAGCTGTTGCTTTCGTCCAGAGTTGACGCAGCTTGACAACATTCATGCAAAATGGAGGTTGGATGATGGAGTCTAAATCTCTACTTATGGCTAAATTTATATCATATCAACCATATACTGGTTATACCATGCATTACTATCCAACAGTTTCATTGAACAAGATCATAAGATTATGGACCTAGTCCACCCTTCTAATATAAAAATTAGTGTGGACTAAAATGATGATGGCGTTCTCTATAAAATCGATCTAGAATCACAGAAGTCAAAAAACTAATTAAAAACCCAAGGTCTACACTAACGCCATTTTGAACATTTTAAATCATTACAACAGGACATCTGACTGTTTACATTTGTATGCAGCACAAGTCAGTTTTGACAAAAATGTACATATAAGTAGAAATCTATCATAAACTTCCATTCTCTTCCAACAAAGGTAAAATTAAAAAAAAGAATAAGATCACAAATATCAGAACTGAAACATGAAAGCATAAAAAAGACCTCTTCAGAAACTAAAGTTCAGTCTTTGCCTCAG